GAATCCACATCACGAATTGAGATTCTACAAATAGAAAAATACAAGAAACAACTTGAATATGAAAAAGGCCAAATACAAAATAAAATCAATAGAGTTAATAGACTCTTAAATGGCCATTATAATTATAAATATTTAGCAGCATTTCGACCTAAAGATAGAATGCATGCATCCAGAATACTAAAAGAAAATCCGACACTCAAGAAAATATCGGATTCCGGACTAATAAAATTATTAAAGGATCAAGACTTTGTTTATTCACTTTTGAAACCCAAAGCAAAAAAGAAACAATACTTATTAAAAATCCGACAAATTAAAAACAACATACAATATGACGAAAAGACCGAATTGTCTGGAACAATCGACCAAATATTTACTAAACATCCAAACATACCATTAGTATGACCAACATTACGGATTTATAATAAAATTGCCTCATAAGGAAATTACCGGCAATGTTTAATCCAGACATGTAGATCGATGTGTAAGCCTGGTCTGTGTAACCAGGTCATAAACCAACAGCAATAATTTAATCAGTATTACTAAAAAGCTTTTACTCTAATTACTATGTAAAAAGTTATACATTGATCTTTTAGATATAATACTAGCACAAGTTCTTTATTATAATAAAAGTTAACAAAAAACAACCGTTGTTTTACATAAAATATCAAAAAAAATAAATTTTTAATTATTAGCGAATACTTCAACATCTTGCTGAAGGGTATGAACGAATGACGGTTGTGATAAAGTGCAGGTAAAAAGATATCTAAGTTCAATCTTCGATTCTTGGTGTTCGGCTGGATGATTTTTGTGTAAGTTAATAGTGTTATAAGAGGTTGTGGTTAATTCTTCAGGTTCCTCATTTTCATCTTCTTGAGTCCACTCTCCAATAACTGATTTGCCATTTTCATTTTCTTCATTAGTACAATCGTCACTATCACAATCATCGCTATTATAATCATTGGTATCAGAATCATCATTATTAGGCATTTCAATATCATCAAATAGTGGAATGTGTTCATTTTCGCTAAGGTTAAGTGCATTTGTTTTATTGCTTGGTTTGATATTTGATTCTGATTGATTAGATGATGATGCTTTACTATCATTTGAACCAGTAATATAATTTGCGATTACAGTTTTGCGAACTTCTTCAGCATTATTTAAATGGTCCTCCCATGCCATCTTGGCTGTGACTTGAGTCATTCTAAAGATTGTTTGTAACTGCAACAAGATAAGTGTATTTATACGAATTTACAAATTTTAAATATATTGTTTCTTACCTTGAGGTGAGTGCGTTTTGGATTATGAAACCAACCCATTTGAGAGAAAAGGCATTCACATAGTGCAGAATTAATTTTAATGCTATACAATCTGAGTGCAACTTTACCAATATCTTTTTGATCAATCGCTACAAACTCTCAATATCGCAATAGTCATCAGCAAAAATAAATAGGCGTAAACCTCTGCAAGTTTTTACGCGAGCGTAAACTTACGAAAATTTACGATTAGT